ACTAGCTCTTTTGTTTGTGCGCCGCCCTGAGTGGTAGTGTCGACAAGAAGACGGTTCCCCAAATCACAAGTCAGGTAAGACAAAGTTGGTAGGAACAAGCCGACTGTCGGTTGTCTCCGTGAAGTAGTGTGTTGTTGGTTAGCTTTGTCCGCGCGATGGGTACTCTGCCGTCTGCAGCCGATCAAATAAAGCGGGAATGTCGATTGACTCGGAGCTTATGCGTTTATCAAGCAGCGAGTTGATCGATAGCGTGGGAAAGGCCGATAGCGCGCGGAGTGGATAATTACGCGTGGGGGAAAGGCCTGGCAGAGCGGATACAGGATGAATCACGCACAGTTGCGCTGGATGGCAGACTCCTACACACATGCGCAGATAAGGGGCTGTGCATGTCTCCGACTTTCTCACGATTACCTATGATTAAGGATTCTCGACAAAATCGGAAAAGTCAGGAAAATAAAGCTCTTGTTCCAGTGATCGCATATTCTTCTAGACTCCTCCAGCCTATCTCTCTCGTTTGATCCCCAACGGTTCGAATGCATGGATACGGTAGCTGTGGTCGAACTGGTTAATCAAAATCCTGATATGAATTTTTGTTATGACCCGCGCTCGGCACTTGTAACTAACAAGAACTCTGGGCTTGGTCGACGGCACGGAAAAAGAAGAAAAGGCAATTGCTCACGAGCAAAAATGCCTCTACAAGCGAGTCATTATGACAAAAAGGCTGCCCATATGTACTGATCAGCTTGGTGAGAATGTTTCGGAGACATGTACTTATCCAATGTGGGAGGGGGGGGTTCGATAGCCACGGCCCGGGCGCACACTCATGACTGCGTAGCAGCTCATGCAGGCGCCTTTCTGTGCGATGAATTATCGTGTGCATCGCCAAAAAATTTTCCTTGGGAAAAATTACTAAATTGTGGTTGTGATATTGATCATCGTTCGGTATCACCTCAGGATGTCGGCTTTTGAATGAGATTGTTATTGCATTGATGTTCGATGCCCCCTAATTTGAGATTTAGTTGCTAGACTCAGTGTCAATGGATAGCTGGATCCTCAAACCGGACGCTCTTGCCGGCTGAGCCACGGAGTTGGGGCTCTGTAGTGGTCTTGTAGCGCCTTTGATCTACCGCACCTCGCCACTCATGGGTTCACGTGATTACAGTTCTCGGTCTGCCTCCGGGACAACCGCAAAGTGGGCGCAATCCATGCCACAAATTGAGATCTATTTAACGGAAAACGCGTTCGTAGATATTCTTTTTTGTACCCATTTGGTAGTGAAGTACGCCGTCTTCCATTTTTACCCTGATAAGGGCTACCTTTGGGTTTTAAAAAATTCGCAATTATGCGAGTTTTTAATACGGTGCACTGTTCATACAAGGCGCAACCCTTCGGGTCTCTTTGTTTAGTAATGCCCCTCATAGTATATACACCACAGTCCACAGTACTTGAAAAATGTTATGGGTATTATGTGATATCTGTTTGATGACGTGTATTCAAGGCGGGCATTCTAGCGTCGGTGATGTATCTTAAGAGTCTGCTTCAAGATAATAAATATTGTAGTCCCACTTAAGTCATCCTACCTAATTGAAGACGCATGTCATAGTTTTCATTAACACCGATGCTGACTGTAGGGGTGGAGAAGTTTGGTATGGACACGCGAGATGAGGGTTCCGTAATTCCACGATATTGTTCAGGTAGGTCGCAGCTCCCCCTCAATGGGCAACTAATCAAAGCTTAAACTACAGTAGATTCCCTATCTCATGAAATGTCTCCCGAAATTCTGAAATGCGTTTTTGATTCAAATATATTGATTACATATGGTTGTAAGAATGACGATCGTATAGCCTAATCTCAATATATTTTGGTCACGTCAGGATGCCGGCTTTTTAACGACCTTTCTGACAGCTAATAAAATGTATGTACTGTAAAAAGTGGCTACTCAAGTAGTATGCATTTTCATAATTGATTTTGACTGCCTTTATAAATTCAAATA